AAAAAATAATTTTTTTTGTTCCCCTCCTCTCTTTTATAGCTCGCGCTGATGTACAGAAATGCTTGCGTTAGTGTAAAATTGTGTCTTTAGCACGTAATTGTTATCTTTTAACATACTATCTCTCATATATTAATGTTATCTTATGATTTTCTTGTTTGGCGGAATTTAAAATAGCACAAGTTACTGTTATAATTTACAGCCTAATTTATAATTTAAAGTTTAAGTTGCAGTTACAGTGTAACGAGCAAGTAACGTATTTAATACTATTAATTTAATAATTGTTTTTACTTAACATGATACTTAAAAAAAAGTAAAAGTGAAAAAATAAGAGTAAAAAGCAAACATTACTATATTTCAGTGACAGATCCAGGGGGAGGATGGGGGTATGCATTCCCCCCCACCAGAATCTGAAAGTCTTGAAAATATCATAGAAATTGAGGACCTTGTTTTTTCCTTTTTTTTCGGAGATGCAAACATGGTACAAAATTCAAAAATATTTCAACATCCTCCGCCAAAAATTCCTGGATCAGTTACTGCAATATTTAAACCACTTTAATTAGTCATAGAAAACTGTTTAATACAATCACGCTGACGATAAAACATGTATTTTTAAAGAGACAATAAAACGTGTTTTTTAATTGTTATTGTAAAAAACTGTAAAACAACAATAAAAGAAAAAGTTGTCTTTAAAATATAAATAGCTTGTGTTAATGTAAAACAACTTCGTGATGCTGTTTTGTTGCTGTTTTATACAGTTTAATAACATAAAATGCGTTTAAAATAAAACAAAGCAAATAATTGAAATTGTTTTAATAAATTAAAAAATTATCGTCAATAAATCAAAAAACATCGTCAAAAACTTAATAAAAAATTAGATTTTTAAAAATGATGTTTTTTATAATTTATTGTTTCTTGAATAAAGGACTAATAAAAGTTTAACTATAATTAAGTTTTTTCATTTAAATGGTTTTTAAGTTGATGTTTTTATTCAGTTTCTCTATTTCAATTGTTTTCCAATAAAAAGTGAAACAAAAAAATTTGGTTTAATAAATCGAATTATACTTCATGTTTAAAATAAGGCTTAAAAACGTTAAAGTAAAAAAATTGCTGGTTTTTATTATCATTTTTATACTGTTTGAAAATAAAAACTAATAAAAAAGTATTAACTAATAATATATTAATTAATAATTATTAGAATTAATAATTTTAATTAAAATAATTATTAGAATTAATTCTTTTTATTAGTTTTTTTTTCAAACAGCAAATAAAAAGTCAGCAATTTTTTTGCTCTAACGTTTTTAAGCCTTATTTTAAACATTTTGATAAACAAAGATAAAAACTAGGTTGTTTTGTTAGAATGAAGAAAAAACTCGAATAACCGTCTTTTCCCTTTTCAACTTTTCGCTTTAACAACCTTTTAAAAATTTTCCACGCAGAGATTTAAAGTAATTTAAATTCAAAAATGTTTTACGTTGAAAGAAAATCTCAGTGCGTAAGAGCAAATCATCTATTCATCTATCTATTCAGAATAATAAATTTTGTGTGACGTTCTTTAAGATAAAAATATTACTTTTGCTAAAAAAAATTCTAAGCTAGAAAAAAAAAATTAAAAAAAAAAAAACAAATCGTGAAAAGATTTTAAGAAAAAACTAATCGCGGAAGTGTGAAAAGCAATTGCGATCGTATTAAGCGATTGCGATACGCTTAATACGAGCCCTGTAAGACTTTTTTATAAGTTCTAAACTATTAAAACTATTACTTAATAACTTTTTTTTAACGACGTCTTTGAACCGAATTCTATTATACTGTTTTTGCAAAATTAATTAAACTTTTTTTTACTTGAAAATCGAAGTAGATATTCTAAAGTTGTTGTGACGTACTAACGTGATTTTTAACGGCTAACAATCGAGTTTCAACGTTAAAAAAATAAAATCGAAATGGAGTTGTTTCTCAGTGATTTCGGCAATTGCTTTTTGTTAGTATGCATTTATTATTACAATTTATTGAAAAAGAAAAAAAACTTACATATTTTTTTTTTATGCTCTTTCATATGAAATCATATGTTAGAAGCACTTAGGGATCCCTTTAAATTGTAAAATATTTGAGTATTTACATAATTCAAATTTAATTGTTAAAAATTTCTTGTACAAAATCAAATACATGTTTTTTCACGTTGTATCATTGTATATAAATACACATTGCTTCACAGTAGAAGCATGCATACGCAAATCTTATGATTTCACTTCACGTAAATTTTTCGATTGAATTTTTAATTTCAGTTGATTGCAATATAATAAAAAAATATTTTATTTTACTAAAAATTGTGCATTTTTTTCAATACAAAAATGAATTCAAGTAAAAGCAAATCAAAGGTATGGAAACACTTTACATTAGATCCAAATGACAAAGCAAAAACTGTATGCAAGGAATGTAATACAAAATTGTCGTATACAGGAAGAGGAACAAGCGGCATGAAAAATCACTTGTTTTTGAAACACAAAATTGATTTGGATTTGCAGGAGTCAGAAAGCCAACCACCTCAAGCAAAAAGACATGAAAAAAACTCTTCATTTTATCAAAAAAGAATCTTTAGAAGAGATTAATTTTCAATTGGTGCGATAACTAAATCAAA